CCCGACTGATTAAGGTCATGCGGGTGTTAGGCAGAGACTGCTCAGGCAGGTAAGGACACACTGGTCAGCCTGCACTCCTCACAGTACCTTGCTGTCCAGGAGAAGGTTGTCTGGTTTGATGTCTCTGTGGATGAATCCAAGCTGGTGAATAGAGTCTATGGCTAACACTGTTTCTGCTATATAAAACTGAGTCTCCTCTTCTGTCAGCGTGTCTTTTTTCATCAACAGGGTCATCATGTCCCCTGGAAACAAAAAGATACAAAGTACATACACGCACACACACAAACACACAAAACAATATGAGTAACAGCCAGTTTTCAGATATGTCCTCCCTACCTGCCACCATAAGGCGGTGCTAAATAGGTCTCTGCTATATCCCAGAGATGACCTACTATGGGCGGAAATGCCTGACATGAGCAGAAATGGTAAGCAGTTTCTAACATTTAAAAGATAAAATTCACAGCCACGGATGGCAAAACACTTTCACTAAGCTAACTGATGCTGACCCCTGAGCGGTGATTTCCACTTAACTTTGGAGAAAGGAAATGTCTCTCACACTAAAATAATAAACCAATCAATCAATAAATTTGCTTAAGACAATTTTTTGGACTGGGGAAAGAGCTACTTTACTTTTCACTTGGCACAAATACCTGCAAACTTCTCTAAGGAGTTTCCACATTCTAACAATGGCTGTACTGCCATTATTAGAGAGGCTGAGTGAAGTGAAAGTCACTCAGTCGTGTCCAACTCTTTGCAATCCCATGGACTATAATCCATGGAATTCCCTAGGCCAGAATACTGGAGTGGGTATCCTTTCCCTTCTCCAGGGGATCTTCCCAACCCAGGGATTGAACCCAGGTCTCCTGCATTGCATGTGGATTCTTTACCAGCTGAGCCACAAGGGAAGCCCAAAAATATTGGAGTGGGTAGCCTATCCCTTCTCCAGCAGATCTTCCCGACCCCGGAATATAACCGAGGTCTCCTGCAATGCAGGCAGATTCTTTACCAACTGAGCTATCAGGGAAGCCCAAACAAAAACATAAACATCTGGGGAGGCTGAAAACAAGCTTTCCAATGTCTATTCACAGAACACTAGAACATATATAAAAAGGTAGGATTTAGGAAGCAAAGTGTTAGTCAACAAAAGCTGTTGTAAATATGAAAAGAAAGTGCTACAGACTAGGATGTGTAATAACTGCCTCCCAAACGTGCATAGTGAACACCTCCCAAGATCAGTGGGGTTTTTTTCTCCAGTGCTTATTGTGGGTACTTAAATATATACCAAACTTTTACAACACAATGTCAGTATTTTAGCAGTTAAGCAGTAACTTCCTTAGTTTTCTGCAAAGTCAAAATTTAAGTATTTCTGCTTAATACCATCAACATACAATGGTGAAAAAAAAGATTCTGATCCAATTCAACAGTCAGATGAAAGCAAAGCAAATATGAATAAACATTATAAAGGTAAAAGAAACAGGAAAGATTCAGTTCACATCGCATAGAAAGCAATCTATATTAGAAAACGGAAAAGAGACAGAAACCTCAGATTTTAATAGTGTGTCATGCTGCTTATTTCTAACTTTGAGGGAAGGAGAAAAGTGGGTATTTTACCCTTGGGCAAAAATTAAGCCACTTATTAAGATGCTCCCTTTTTTGCCCCAAAACTTGAAAAACATGATTTCCTAATCACTCCTGGCCGCCAAAGATTCAATCTGGAGGCACATCAGTGGGGCCGGCTCTGAGGTACCTATGTGGCCGTAACACAGTGGCCCAGGAGAGCAGCCAGTGGCCTCACCTGTGCAAGCGCGCCCAGATGATCAGAGCGCTCAGGCCAGAGGGTCTGGGCTGTGCAGGCCAGCCCCACCGAGTACAAAGGGCAGGGTCCAGGGAACACGGGAAGCTACAGAAGACAGTGCAGGTAAAGCTTGTGGAGACGCACGTCAGGGGGCTGGCTGGTTCTCACTCCTATTTAACTGACACCTAAATGTTATAAGTTTCTCCTCATTCTGTCATATAGATTCTTTTCTAATCTTCATCAACTGTTAATAAAAAGTACTGATGACCCTAGATATAACTAAAAGTTGTCACCAGATCAAATATTATGCCTCAATTATATTAGCTTTGATATAAAAGCATAAAAAGAGAAAGCTTTCTTTTTTTCCCTACCAGTGTGCTCACAGTTAATCTGCTCATTGGGAAACAGACTGTGTTCCCCAGAACAGACGCATGTTCTATTCTGGGTTTACTTTGGAGCGGTCTTACAAGATGTACATGCCGAGTTACCAAAAACATGAAATTTCAGAAATAAGAAACAGATTGTGACTACTAATATATGTAATGAGAAATTCACTCTTTATAATTTACGGGGGGGGGGGGGAGTTGAAGCAAGGAATGTAATAGCTTCAATCAATCTTGTCACTTAGGTAAAGACTTATTTCCAGGGACAGGAAGACAGGCAATGCTCCTAGTATATTTCTATATATTTAAAAAGAAAAGAAATATCCATCTGAAATCATGAGAATGAATGAGAAGGTTATTTTTATGGCCCTAAAACTGTAAAAAGGCACCCAGCACAGACAGATTACTGACCTCCTTTACAGACCTAAAAAGATACAGAAAGCAACTTTGTGAGCACGGTTAAAAGTAGAAAGGAGGGTTAATCCATGTAAGAGAGAAACCACAAAACAAAAAGGAAAAATGACCTTTCATCGTCAAGTAATTACCTCCAGGCAGGAACTCCATGATTAGGTAGAGGTTTAGCTTATCCTGAAAACTATAGAACATTTTCACAACCCACAAACTGTCTGCCTCCACTAGAATGTCACGCTCCGCACGAATGTGGCCAACCTGGAGGTACACGCATTGGATTAATGACAAGCCTTGCTCTGCTTTATCAGACTGCATATTTGCTTAAACAATTTAAATACTGTTGAGTATTAAATTGTGATGATGCAAAAGATACAGCTTATGCTTAGGCAAACCTACGAACTCAAAATTTGACAACATTTGACTTGAAGGTATTCGGTAATAAAAACTTGAGTGATGAAAGACTTGAAAGTGGCAAAATTCAATGGTTTTAATGCAAATGGAAACTTTAACAGTACTATAAAGTGAACCTCTGATTAGTTAAAATTACCATTCTTTTGCATATCTTTTTGATCTAATAATCCTTTTTTAATAAAAGTAAGTCCCCAAGATGAGACTCTCTATAAGCAAATCCTGCCTCGGGTCTTCAGTGACATCTGCCAAGACGGTGCCTGCTTGACAATCCCAGATACTGTGATGCCACAGTACTCGGCCACGGCTGTGCACACAGGAGGTGCTCAGTTCTTACTGAACTGAAACATGAGAACAGCTAAGAAGAGTTGTCTACTCATTTATGACACTGCCAGTTTTCTATTTTTACTGAAATATTTAGCTAGGGAGACCAAGTTGCCAAAGGTTTGGGAGGATTTCTTTATTAATTTATTAACATCAAGTTGACTTCATCTACTTTAAATATACAATAATAATCAAAACACTGTTGCATATCACCAAGTCCCACCCCTTTTCTTCTTGTATAAGTGCTGTTAAGTTGCAAGACTGTGTTGAATCAGATCTAAATTTATTAAGACTCAGGCTGATCCTTGAGTAGAGGTTTTTATTTTAACATGCGCTCCAGCCCAGGACCTCCTACAATGTTTGGAGGTGAAGATATACCAAGTTCACAAACTGGCACTTCTACTGGCAAACTCAGCCCCTGGTTGTTGTTTTGTTTGATAGGATGTTCTGCGTGCTTGTCTTAATGGAATGTCTTCAGCAAAGCCAGGCGCTCTCCATTCCATTCGGACACAGACCCCAAAGCCTTCTCTCCTGTCTTACACCTAACCTGCCTCATCCTTCCATGCTCACTCCTATGGGCCTAAAACTCCTATTGAGTTTTCAGTTTCTACGAAAACTGTTTTCAAGAAAATTTTTAAGTAACTTCAGTGTTTTAGAAATTTTACATTTTTACATCTCTACTTATGGCATGAGGGTGGGAAAAATGGAAGAAGGTAACGGTGATAAGGAATGGTGTTATAAAATTAGAATGAAGCCCAGTAAAGATGTGAGGAAATGCTCATGCCACTTGCTGGCTCTGACCCAGTCAGTTACTACACAAAGACTGCACGGAGCTGACTTCACCCGCCTGTTTCCCTTGGCTCCTGTGAAGGCCTCTGCCTACTGCAGGGACGCACGGTAAAGGACAGGCATGACCACCATCACCTGTCACTCACCTTAGAGGGCAGGACTGTGACTGCAACATTCCCGGTTTGTCACAGGGCAAGCTGTAGGCACGGTGACCACACCCTGCCCTTCTCTCCCAGGGCTGAGACAGCAAGTCAAGAACTCAAGGTCTAGGAGTCAGGCAATTTTACAGGAGGGGTGGGCTCTAGACTCCCTTCCCCTGCTCCTTAAACACTGAGTGGGGTGGGGATTATGTGCCAGCTGTGAGCCAGGGTACTAGGAGAGCAGAGGGAACAGTCGGTCTTTGGGCCCATCCTAACCCTACATGGGCATCACAACCAGAGGCTGTCCTTTTGCACAGGAAGAGAAATGGGAAGAGATTAGCTAAACATTGGTCTCTTATCCTCTAAAATTCATTTTCCAGGTAGCAGAAACTTCCATCTTGTGAGGAATAACAACCGGAACTCTAAATGGGTAGCTGTAATTCCTGCTCAGTTTCGTAAAAGCAAATAAGAAGTTTTCCTCTGGAGAGGGCACCTATACCTACAAGAAGTCAGACTATGAATCTGTACTTTGTCAGCCCACTCAGAAGTGATGGATTTGCCCCATAAAGCTGCTGCCGGCTTCCTCAGGACAGCTGCCCCAGGTCAAGTCTGTGGCCGGAAACTTTAACTGGACCATGCTGAGATCAAACCTAGGGAGCTGAGTCCATCAGCAAGAGGAGCTAACGATTTAAGTTAATTCATTTAAAATCCTAATTCGAACAGAGACTTCCTTTATCTTTACGTAGGAAGTCTTTAGAAACTGATTTTGAAGAAGGTACAGTACTTGAGAGAATGTCTTTAAACAGTATGTTTGGATCATCCTCTGTTACCACCTGTTACCTCTATGAAGGATTAGTAAGTGGAAGTTATGACATGTACTTCTTTTTACAATTTTACTCTACTATTCATTTGATAAAGAAATACTGTGAGTCTTGGTTAAAACTATAGGAAATATATCTTGTAAAAATAAAATTTACTTGTGACATACAAACTATATGGACTAATCAATACAGCTTCACATTATCCTTTCTAAGATTAACTGAAGCTCCTTCAGTGTCAATACCCATATCACACTGATTTTTAGATACATTAATAGTGCTGGTGTGCATTTTGAGTAAGGTTGGTGTTAACATATAATGTCTGAAGATCTACTGCCAGGGTATTTGCTACTTCTGACCAAAATTCCTGGGAGTCTAAAGCTTTAAAGAGAAAATTAAAATCCCAAATTTTGAGCTAGCACTTAAATGAAGGGCAGAAAAGCCTCAGTGATTATAGCTCCTCTCAAGCGGCTGGAAGGACTGGGTATGGGGCCAGCCTCCATCCTGGCTCTGGGTTTTGTATCTGGAGCTCTCCTTTCCAGGGGGCATCTCTCTGCCCTCCTGTAATAACTGGTATTTTATAGGATATTTGCAGGCATCGCCCACTACAATCTGTTCTGCTAAATTAAACTAGATTTATAGAAAATCTGCATTCTCACTTTTAATATATACTAATATTTAAAATCTTACTTATTCTGCATAAAGTACTGAATGCAGCTTATAAATCTATTTGCAAAGTGGATTTGAAGTTTGAGAAAATATTCTTAATCATTAAATGAAGCGTCTGCAATGCTGTGCCACCTTCATTTTATTTTTTCAAATTCATTCCCAAACAAGACTGGCCTCTCTCACATAGTGACAAGCCACTCAGAAGATCCAAACTGGGTCTGCGTGAATTTACAGAATGAAGCGTATTAAGACCTATTTTAGATCAAACTCCAAATTCTAATTCCTAAATCTCAGTTCCAAGGTATAATACACAACTTTCCTCAACATTCTGTAAGGAACATGCTACTACAGTAAGTACCACCTCAAAAAACAGCGCCTAATGACAAGGACAGCTTGTGATCAACTGCGAAACACAAATATCAGACGTTTCTCTAGTAGATTTTCAACTTTAAAAAAGACTGCACATAATGTCTTAGGTATTATTTGTACCTAAAATATATATAACTGCTTCTATGGGGGAGGGTGGGGGGTGCAAGAAAGCAAAGTAATATTATATGACAGGGCTAAAGAAAACTAAAAGAGGAATATACACTTCAATTAAGCAAAAAGAACAGTTTTAGAAGACAAAAATTCATAAGATGACTAAAATCACTGCTACAATTGTGCTTTACCTGCTCTTTTTCAAGCATATCTGCTTTACGAAGTATTTTCATTGCATACACATGGCCCGTATCTTTCTTCTGAACAAGCCGCACCTAAATATTGTAAGAGAAACGCCAAGAGTTTATGATGCCAAATTAATGGTTTCATGTGTAACAGGAAATCATATTTAAACTGAAAAAGTACTGCAATTTTTATATAAACAATAACAAAGCAGAAGAAAATGCTTTTCAGTGTTTCAAAATGGATATATTATACACAGGTCAGTGCTGAAACATTCTCAGATATCTCCACCTCTGAACAGCTCTGGCTCCCGAGTTGAACAGATCAAGCTAATTCAAAACCCTCACTTTGGACTCATTAAACCCATGACATATGTCACCCAGTCAGCTCAAAAAAATCTAAGGAAATGTTTACAACAATGTCTAAAACAACAGCAAAAGCTAAGGCACAGGAAAAAAATGCCTGGAAGTGGGTGAGGAACTAAAATGTATACTTAGGGAAATAGAGTTTTCTGCAGCTCTCCTTTCTCTTTTTTACTTTCCTTTTTTTTTTTTGAGAGAGAGAACAGATAATTTGTGATGAAAAGAAATGGTCTGCAAACCCAAACACAACTACTCGGCAAGTCCCTGCACATCCTCTCCTCCTCCCCCAAGACAAGTATGCTTTCTTCTCCCTGAAACATTCCTATTTTCCTCGAGTCCCACGTCCCCCCTCTCAATGAACATAAAGCTCTTTTAGACGTGGTCCTGTACCTTTTCCTGTCTCAAGAGGCCAACAGGGATTCTGAACACTGAGGGATCAATTTAATCTTTCACCTATGCCTTTGAATATGTACTCATATTTCCCCTAGGTGCTGGTTTTTTATAATGTGCTGCTCCTTTTGTATTTATAATGATAGTGAAACTATTGCATCAGTAGGTCATCCACTTCGGGTGTTTTCCACAAATGGGGAGGATCTTGCACAGGCTCATTCAAACCCTTCCCAGCAGACTGCTCTCTCTTGTGATCAAGCAGGACGCATTTGACCAACCAGCTGGGACAAAGCTGCAAATACTTTCATTCTCTACCACCACTCACATTAACTTATTTCTAGAAATTGTTTCCCAGGGCCTCTTTTCAGAGCTGTACCAATCTGGCAGGAAGAAATAAAGGGTGGAAATATGCTGGAAGTTTGCTCTTGGAAAGGCAGTGTAATGGGAAAAGCAACAGCTTTGAGATCAGGAAGACCTAGGCCCTGCTTTGATACCATTGCCCAATGGATGTGTGACACTGGAACATTATCTATCCCCTCAGGTTTAACCACATCATGTATAAAATATTAGTCATGATTCTAGGAAAGAAGCACTAAGTAATAAATATTGACTTATTTCTACCTATCAACTCTCCCTCTAGATGAATATTTAAAGCATCAACATCATCTCTAGCAAAACAGAGAAGAACCACCAGATCCCTGGGACAGTGAGAGGGCAAGAAAACGAGGACAGAGAGCAGGTAAGACGTGGGGCTCAAAGAAGGGCCCACCCACGCCCTGCTACAGTTCTATCAGCCAGCACAAGCTCATGTTACGTTAGAAGCTTCGATGTGCTGTGGCATTCCTGTATTTGATAAGTAGCTGTGGTGTTTTTACCTCACCAAAGGCTCCTCTGCCTATTACTTTTAAGGACTCAAAATCTTCCAGTCCAAGTCTTGTTCTCTTCAAGCGAAGAAATTCTGTTTCCTTCCGAGCATGCGCTGATCTCCGGAGTCGTTTCTAATGTTTAAACAGAGAGGGAGAGAGGTGGGAAGGGACTCTGTAACAAGTCTTATTTGTGGTTTATCCCACCCAGAAAGCAGGGCCCCGCCAGACTAAACACCATCTGTTCACACAGGAAAGCACCGCAGAAGGACCCTAAGGAGGTCAGCCCTGCCTCCCCGTTCTCAGACACAATAACCACCCTGAACAGAGGACGAGGATGAACCTGCTTCACAGCCCGCTACTCTAATGTTCCTAAAGTGGAAGGATAAACAATCAACATTTCCCTTTAACTTTTCTTATATACAAGTATGGTTTTTATTTTTTTATTTTTTTCTCATATACAAATATGGTTTTTAAATTTCTCTCTGGATTTTTTACACATTATGGTTCATTCTATTCATTAACTTCCTATTGTTCCTACAAGTCTTGGGTATTTTTCACCATTTTCCTGGGTTCTATGATTCATTTCTCCTTTTGAGAACACCTCCACAGCCATTTCAGTTCTTTCCGTAGTTTCTTATTAATTATATTTTCTGCCACATCTGTGGGCACTGGGGGGAAAAGGCTGATTCGAGAGGTATTTCACCTTGACAAAAATTTCAGAAATTTGCTCCACTTCTATGGAGCGTTTTCAGTGAATTAAAAATGCTTATTTGCTTTTTAAAATTTTATTTCATGTCTTTCTTTTCTTGGAATTCTAAAGCTAATTAATTTACTACTACAGAGCCTAGAAGCCATCCTTTCCTGGTATTTAATAATCAACTTCTCCCTCTGCATGAGTACCTAAATCCAGAAGCACACCCGCCCTCATAATTTCCTGTTATAAGTCAAAACCCTTCCTCCATGCACCAATGCTAACAACTTGCTACACAAGACGTGATTTGTCAGGCTTGGTTTCAAGGAAAATTTTTCCAATATTAATTACCTCTTCATCCTTGAGGCCTTCTTCTTCCATCACTTTTTCTAACTTCTTTTGTCTAAAAATAAAGACATATGAAATTAACATTTGAATGATAACTTTCTGTTAATCTATGTATAATTTTTTTTTTAACTGATAGAAACAGGTAAAACTCAAAATGCTTCATTAAAACAACAAATTACAGTTACTAAGGCAAGTGAAAAGATTCTCATCCTTTGTTAGTTCTACATTTTGACAAAAATTGTTTAAGATGTTAATGCAACAAAGAACCTAATTTCGAAATGTAAAGTTCTCACTCTTTGTGGTAGTTCCTCCTCAACAAACCACCAACAGCTGGTATCTGATAACCTCTTCTATCAGGGTGTTTCTCTCCCTGCCCCAGACTGAAATCTACTTCCTTTATTTTCACATCTTCCTCCTCCTCCCTGCCACAAGCACAGTAATAACAAAGGTAAACACAGAATTTGAAGATTTAAGGGGGGGGGAATGTTGGAAAAAGGTGATTAGCAAGCACTGATAAAACTTAAAAGCCACATGGACCAGCCAAAACAACAAACAACAACAAAACAATACCAAAAAAGCACCAAGGAAAAAAAACCCAAAAACAAAAAACTTGAGATTCTAAATCCTTGGAGTACTATACATTAGAAACTGCATCCAAGAATATTTCTGACCTACACTCTTATACTGATTTGATAAAACTAAGAGAAACAAGCAAAATTTCCTTATAACTAGTTCCACACATCTGTTATTTATTCTGCATAATAAATGAAAGCACAGGGGCTAGAGTCTCCTCTATCCCTGTCAGCATGCCCAGCTGAGCAGGGCAGAGAAGAACAGACATATAGGGTACATGAAGCACCGTCATGTGGTCTAGCCCAGTTGAGGCACCCTGCACTTCGAACGCCACACAAGGATGGCTGACTCAGTCTGTAATTAGGAACTACTAGAGACTTATGCACAACGGAATGGTGTGATGAGGTTTCTCTTTTGAGAATGGCAACCTGTAGTAATGAGCTGATGGACTATCAGGAAAAGCAACAGACAGAAGAGAGAGGAGACAGGAGACAGAAGTAGGAAGGGACTCTGGAACAAGAAAAGTTATCATGAGTCAGATGGATAATAAAGATGGAACTAGGGCTGGAAACTCAAAATGTGACCACAGTCACTGCAAAGATGACCAGCTGACAGAAGGAATCAAGCGAACAGTCCTGGAATTTCTTGTGTGGGAGGATGATGGTGCCACTAACCACGACAGGAACACACAGAGAGGAACCTGGGACAATAAGAGTTTTATTTTACTCAGTGAATATTTACTGCAATACCAGTATTTAGTGAAAATGAGTATTTTTATTTAATTATATTTACTATTAGAAATCATATTACAGTACAAATCCACAGGCTCAGATGATAAACAAGAATGTGTGTCCAAACTCCCAGGAAGTGAAAGGATCCACTCCAACTCTGAAGGAAGAAGAAAGCATTTCCATGACTCCCAGTCTGCCCACTCCTCTTCTCCTAGTTCCCAGAATGTCTGGGGATATGCGTCTATGTGTGCACACAAACTGGAGAAGGCTGTACCACTGGTAACTTCAGGAGTGAAAATTAATTTCATTTTTTTGGTTAAATAATTGAAGTTGGGAAGAGTAAGAAGAGTAAACACATGGTAAGAACTATCAGAACTCAACCCTGGTCAGCTACTTCTGGGCTCTGAGTATCAAACACCATCATACTTTCTGACTACATGTTCTCTGAATGATCACACCAGACTGTGACAGCAGTCTAACATGCTATCGCACAATGTGTGTTACAGAGATGGCTCCCTCTGAATTTTAAATCTAAATTCAAACTGGAAAGTATTCTACACTGCCGCTGCAAGTGTAATTAAACTGGTCTCAGTAGATAATCTGCCTGAGAGTAAAGTATTCAGCAGCATCAGCATCTTGAACACAACCAGATTCTTTTCTTTTCTGGCCACTGCGTGCAATTTGTGAAATATGAAATCTTAGGTCCCCGACCAGGGATCAAACTTTTGGGCCCTCAGGCAGTGAGAGCTCGGAGTCCTAAAACTGGAATGCCAAGGAATTCCCCTCAGATTCTTTTATTAGAGAAAAACTCCATAAAAAACCTACCATGCAAAATGATCCATGGTAATGATTCACCGGGACCAAGTCAAAGATCTTGAAGACACCAAAAATGGCAAAACACAGTGACATCTTACAAAAGGCGTGTGAATCACATCCTCTGTGAAACAACACCACAGAGCTACTGACTTGTCAGACTCGTGTCGGCACTGTGATGACAAGAAAATGGCCATGCTTTTGGAGATGCATATTGAAGCAGACAGGACTCAAAAGACAGATGTTTCAAATTTGCTTTAAAACACAATAGCACGAAAAAATAAAATGGAATAGATGAAACAAATTTAGCAAAGTCTTGACAATCACTGAACCTAAGGGGCTGACTGTATGGGGCTGACTATATTAGTCTTTCTACGCGTGTGTTTGGAAGTGTCCACAGTGATGAACAAAGGCGGGCTCCCTCCACTGCACGTCTCTGGTGGCAGAGCCAGGTAGCTTAACACCCCAGCCTCTGATGAGGTCACTCCAGCTCAGCTCCAAAGTTTCAAACCAGGACCCTGGGGGGGAGAGGCACTTCCATACATAGAGGCCACACCCAACCCCACCCAGCAGGGCTTCCATGAGCTCCCTTTATTAGCATGTGAGACCATTTCCCACATGAGACAGTAAGTTCTTTTGAAGACAAGGACCACATCTGAATCCTCCTTCTCCACTAAGAATAGTGCTTTGTACACAGCAACTTTTTTAAGATATCTGTTGTATGTCAGTCACTTAGTTGTGTCCAACTCTTTGTGACCCCATGGGCTGTAGTTCACCAGTAGCCTTTGCCCATGAAGTTTTCCAGGAAAGAATATAGGAGTGGGTTGCCATTTCCTTCTCCGGATCTTCCCAACCCAGGGACTGAACTTGAGTCATTGCTGGCAGATTCTATACTCTGAGCCACCAGGAAAGCCCAAGATGTATTTACTAAATTAAATTAAAAAAAATTTAATTTTTTACTAAATTAAAAAAAAAGCCCCATACAGTCAGTACACACACATTCATGACTACTTCTTGTAATTAGCCCCCCTTACTATACCTAATTTAGACTCGCCTCAAACACAGCTTGATTCAAAGGCAACAGGGATGGGAGGAAAGGCTAGTCCACTATACAAGCAAGTTGAGTGGACAATATTTCTAATTTCTGCAGATGAACCACTTAAAACCAAGGAAAATGGTATAGAAATAAACAGTGGGTATCTCCATGATCAGAACTGAGAATTCTCCAGATTTACCCTAAAAATGAGTAATACACAAATCTTTAAAAATCTCAACAAATTAGTTTGACTGATATCTGGTCAGTTCAATTCAGTCACTCAGTCGTGTCCAACTCTTTAAGACCCCAAGGACTGTAGCACGCCAGGCTTCCCTGTCCATCACCAACTCCTGGAGTTTACTCAAACTCATGTCCATCGAGTCGGTGATGCCATCCAACCATCTCATCCTCTGTTGTCCTCTTTTCCTCCTGCCCTCAATCTTTCCCAGCATCAGGGTCTTTTTCAAATGAGTCAACTCTTCGCCTGAAGTGGCCAAAGTATTGGAGTTTCAGCTTCAGCATCAGTCCTTCCAATGAATACTCAGGACTGATTTCCTTTAGGATGGACTGGCTGGACCTCCTTACAGTCCAAGGGACTCTCAAGAGTCTTCTCCAAAACCACAGTTCAAAAGCACCAATTCTTCAACGCTCAGCTTTCTTTACAGTCCAACTCTCACATTCATACATGATTACCGGAAAAACCGTAGCTTTGACTAGACAGACCTTTGTTGGCAAAGTAATGTCTCTGCTTTTTAACATGCTGTCTAGGTTGGTCACAGCTTTTCTCCAAGGAGCAAGTGTCTTTTAATTTCATGGCTGCAGTCACCATCTACAGTGATTTTGGAGCCCAAAAAAATAAAGTCTGTCACTGTTTCTACTGTTTCTTCATCTACTTGCCATAGATTGATGGGACTGGATGCCATGATCTTAGTTTTTTGAATGCTGGGTTTTAAGTCAGCCTTTTCACTCTCCTCTTTCACTTTCATCAAGATGCTCTTTAGTTCTTGACTTTCTGCCATAAGGGTGGTGTCATCTGCATATCTAAGGTTATTGATATTTCTCCCAGCAATCTTAATTCCAGCTTGTGATTCATCTAGCCTGGCATTTCCCATGATGTACTCTGCATAGAAGTTAAATAAGCAGGGTGACAATACACAGCCTTGATGTACTCCTTTCCCAATTTGGAACCAGTCTGTTGTTCCATGTCTGGTTCTAATTTTTGCTTCTTGACCCACATACAGATTTCTCAGGAGGCAGGGAAGGTGGTCTGGTATTCTCATCTCTTTCAGAATTTTCCACAGTCTGTTGTGATCTACACAGTCAAAGGCTCTGGTGTAGTCAATAAAGCAGATGTTTTTCTGGAATTCTCTGGCTTTTTCTATGACATCCAACAGATGTTGACAATTTGATCTCTGGTTCTTCTTTCTTTTCTAAATCCAGCTTGAACATCTGGAAGTTCACAGCTCATGTACTGTTGAAGCCTGACTTGGAGAATTTTGAGTATTACTTTGCTAGTGTGTGAGATGAGTGCAATTGTGAGGTAGTCTGAACATTCTTTGGCATTGCCCTTCTTTGGGATTGGAATGAAAACTGACCTTTTCCAGTCCTCTGGCCACTGCTGAGTTTTCCAGATTTGCTGGCATACTGAGTGCAGCACTTTCAGAGCACCATCTTTTAGGACTTGAAAGAGCTCAACTGGAATTCCATCACCTCCACTAGCTTTGTTTGTAGTGATGCTTCCTAAGGCCCACTTGACTTCGCATTCCAGGATATCTGGCTCTAGGTGAGTGATCACACCATCGTGGTTATCCGAGTCTTGAAGATCTATTTTGTATAGCTCTG